CCAGTACAGGCTGGGGGCTGACCTGCTGGGAAGCAGCTCTGCTGAGAGGGACCTGGGAGTCCTGGTGGATGACAAGCTCACCATGAGCCAGCAGTGTGCCCTTGTTGCCAAGAAGGCCAATGGTATCCTGGGGTGCATTAAGAGCTGTGTGGCCAGCAGGTCAAGGGAGGTTATCCTCCCCCTCTACTCTGCCCTGGAGAGACCCCACCTGGAGTACTGTGTCCAGTTCTGGGCTCACCTGTTCAAGAAAGATGAGGAACTCCTAGAAAGAGTTCAGAGGAGAGCGACAAAGATTATTAGGGACTGGAACATCTCCCCTACGAGGAAAGGCTGAAGGAGTTGGGCTTGTTCAGCCTGAAGAAGAGAAGACTGAGAGGGGACCTCATCAATACATACAAATATCTTAAGGGTGGATGTCACGAGGACGGAGCCAGACTCTTCTCAGTGGTGCCCAGCGACAGGGCAAGGGGCAGTGGGCACAAACTGAAACGTAAGAGGTTTCAGTTGAATATGTGGAAGGACTTCTTTACTCTGAGGGTGGCAGAGCACTGGAACAGGCAGCCCAGGGGGGTTGTGGAGTCTCCTTCTCTGGACATATTCAAAGCCCACCTGGATGAAGTCCTGTGCAACATGCTCTAGGTGAACCTGATTTAGCAGGGGGGTTGGACTGGATGATCTCCCGAGGTCCCTTCCAACCCTTGACATTCTGTGATTCCTCTCTCCATCCTATGGCAGACCATATCAAACTCACCCCCTCTCCTTGTCCTTCTGAGGCTGTTTGTGGCCTTTACTTGTCAACCATCACATGTACTATTAAGGGACTTCTTGTCAGCCTCACCTTGTCCCCCTTGAGCATCCTCTAACCTTCAGTTTCCCCCACTACGTGGGTCATCTTGTGAAGGTCCTTTGCATACAAAGAGCTCTTACGTACATGTAAATGCAGTGCTGGAGAGGTCTCGTGGTATAAATGAGAAGGGTATGAGGGAACCAACAGACATGTCCATTAGCAGTTACGCAGCAGTTACCTTGGCTTTGGTCCTCCTTTCCTCACACAGCTTTGCTCCTTGCTGCTGGGCTTGTCTTCAGGTGGCTACTATGCAGGAGTTAGACAGAGCTCACATTTTGAGACTCGTCAGCCCATTGCTAAGACTGATATCTTGCCTTCCCAGCACTCTGCAAGGCCAGAAGAGTAAGGGGAAGGATGCTACTGCCTAGTGAATGGGAGCTGGTTCACCTTCTGTGGTGCAGCTGACCCAGGGACACATCTGGCCCATGGGTAGTACTGTACAGCCTGACTGAGCCACTGAATAGAGTAGCTCTGACCTCAGTTCTTTAGGGGCCACTCCTTTCCCAACTTGTTGTCTGGCTTCAAACTATTCTTACAGTGCCACTCATTTAGCTCCTGCAACTGCAACCTTCTTTCAGCTCCTCCCTGCACACGATCAGAGCCTGGACCTGTGGGATGGGTTTGCCCATATGAATGCAGCTTAAGGTCATAGCTCTTACAACAGGGAAGCCTTTGTAGCTTGTAAGGGAGGTGGCATTCAGGATGCAGTTGGACTTGATGATCTTAAAAGGTCTTCCAACCTAAACGATTCTATGATTCTATGCAAGAGCCTGTCTTCTCTGTCCTCCCCCCTTTATTCCTCTCTTGCAGAGAGAAGTGGCAGGATGCCATTTCCCTCAACCTTTCCTCTCCTCTCCAAATTGAAGGGCCTGGAGAAACTCCTGCCAAATGTCTGATCAGAGCTGCTGTCTGCATAGCAGTGAATGAGCTGCTCAGCTGGCTGGAGCTATGAATGTATTACCTGCTGCTGAAATAGACTCCCCAGCTGCAGAAACCCTGAGCAGATTGAGAATAAAGTCCTCTTGCAAACTAATGGGACAGTTGTCACAGTGCCTGGCTAAAGGTGTCCTTCCAGGTACTTCTGTGTTTGCCCTTACCTGCTGCCCTGTTTTGCTCTAGAATCTTCGAAGATGTGGTTCCAGCTATCCGGAAGTGGCGGGAAGCGGGGATGAAGGTCTATATCTACTCCTCGGGCAGCATTGAAGCCCAGAAGCTTCTGTTCGGATACTCTACAGAAGGTGATATCCTAGAGGTAGATAACCTTATCTTCCTTACAGCTTCTCTTTCTGCAGAACACTTCCCTCCCACAACTGCCCTTGCCATAACACTTCGTGGATAGAGTCTGGGACAGGGAGGTGGGACACTGGGTTTCACCCACACGAGTGAAGCTCAGCCAGTTGAGTATGCTAGCATGGTTGCATTGCGCCTCCCCTCCCCCTCCCTCCATTAGTGTGGTAGAAAGGAAAGGGGATGTCTTGCTCAGGAGCAAGGTTTAGCCCTGCCCTTCAGGTGGCACTCAGCAACTGCCTTTGCTTTTCCTTCTCTTTCAGCTCTTTGATGGCCACTTTGATACCAAAATAGGCCCCAAGGTAGAAAGTGAGAGCTACAGAAGGATTGCCGCCAGTATTGGGTGCGCCACCAACAACATCCTTTTCCTGACGGATGTCCCTCGAGGTGGGTGGCCTGCCAGTCCTGCTGGCTCTTGCCTGTGCAAGGGAGGCAGGTGCTCTTTAAATGCATACTATCAACTTGTCACAAGCATCCCAGACATGCTGCAGACCACCTTGCTTTGGTGGCATCCCCCAGCTGCTGCTGTGCTCCTTCCTTACACATCCAGGCTCCCAGACAGCAGCGGGATATCTGTGAGCAGTGCTGCAAGGAGGGAAAATAGGTCAAGTAGAAAACCTGCCCTTGCACCAGCAAGCAAGGAGAGACTGTTAAAGCAGAGTGGAGTGTTTGCTGAAGCAGCTGGCATGCCCCATTTCCAAACAGGATCAGTGGTTTTTGTGACCTGTGCTTGGAGGAGCAAACGATGTCTGGTGCTACGTGGCCCACACGGTGGCTGGTTCTTTGTGCCCCTTACTGTTATGTTGCGTTCAGCAGCAGAAAAACATTGTTCCTGGTCGCCAAGTCCTGACCCCTGGAAAGCCAGGCTTGGTAAGCTAATTTAATTTCCTGCCTTTGCTGGAAATGTCCTTCTGGCAGAAATGGCATTGGGTTCTCAGTCTGAGCCAGCTCAGTCCCCGGGAGTTAGCCCTCACCTCCTCCCCAGCCCCAGCAGCAGAGCTGGTGGGAACTTGCAGTTACCTCCTTTTCCCTCTGTTGTCTTCCTGTGGCCTCCTGCTGTGCTTCAGGAGTGAAGTAAGCTTGTGAGAAGTGACTCCCAGCAGGGGTTGTTGTACTTGCTAATGCCACAGCCCAACCACAGCCCAGCTTCTTTGTGACACAAATGAAGCTGCCAGTGCATGCTGCCTGCTCAGTGCCTTGGATAGCCATCAGCTGGGAGAGGGGAGGAGATTGTGATGCAGCCGGCTCCCATCTGCTCTGTTATGCAGCAGCTACAGCAGGTCTGCTGGGAGCTGGTTCCTCTCTAGAGCCCTGCAGTGCCACGTGCAAATGCTGCTCTCTCAGTCTCAACCTTTAAAAGCACTGTTTTGGGGCATCTTAAAGACCCTCATGTGGAGAGGTCAGTAAGCACACCTCATCTCCACTCTCCCCACCTCTTTGTTTCAGAAGCCAACGCAGCCGAGGAAGCGGATACTCACGTGGCTGTGGTGATCAGACCAGGCAACGCAGGACTGACGGATGATGAGAAGTCATATTACAGCCTCATCTCATCTTTCACTGAACTTTTCCTGCCTTCCTCCACTTAGGGAAAGCAGTGTACACACAAAAGTCTGCTTCACCTGAATTGTCCTTGTGTAATGTTAGGTAATTTTGTCCAAAATCAGAATTTAAAAACCAAACCCACATCATGGCTTGGACCCGTGACTAGTGCAGGCAGGTATGGATGGAGAGTATGGTGTGGGGTCCCTTTTGCAGTAGGATGGAGGCCTGCAGTAGCCAGCTGGAGCTGGGAACAGGGTGAGGAGCAGCACCCATGAGCCCTGCTGTTCCTCGCCTTCCCCAGCTGGCAATTAGTTCAGGGGGTGCTTCCTTCAGACTCACCCATTGAAATCTGGTGCTGAGATGCCCCACCGTGAGCTCTGTCATTTTTAGAAACAGTCTGCAAACAAGGTGTATGTCCCCCTGTCCCAGAGGGACCCCTGAGGACCATGAGCGGATATGACCATCTCCCTGCAGACAGGGTTGCTGGCTAAGTAAAAATTTTCGAAGTTAGGGGGGCTAGGATGCCCAAAGGAAAATGCCAAACGTGGGCTATAATACCCACATTTTGGGGGTTTGGGCTGCCACAGAAAAAAACAGTCCTTGCTGCAGGCAAGCTCTTTAGACCGGGAATAACTTAAATCTTAGCTATATCCACAGCAGGTCTGTGTACAAAACTGTACAACTTCCGTATGGAAGCTGCTTAGAGCTACACAGCCAGCTTACCAAAGTGGAGTATATACAACTTTAAAAATTAAATTCTAGACCCACCTCACTGCTGCATCATGGTGCTGGGCTATGGGATCCAACTGGCTGAACACCAAAGTCCGCTTGACTGTGTTTCTGAAGTATCTCCCTTAGCACCAACCCATGGAGCAACTTCTCAGTAGCCAACACCACCCTGTCACGCACTCATAGCACTGGTCAGCTGTGATCAAACCTTGACAAACAACTGCATCCTGCTGCATTTAATGAGAATTAAAACCCTGACCTTTTCACCCACCCTACCTAAATTGTGCCAATTTATATCAGATGGTCATGGAGCTTTTCCTAATGTAGCAAATAAAAACACAACTTTGCTTTCATTGTGTTCATCCCAGTATTTAGCCTTCCCGTCTATCACCAGTGATCCCAGCACCTAAAGGGAAATCTTTTTTTTTTTAAACCTGTGACCAGGGCTTTCGCCCTCCTGTGTCCTTTCTTTAAGGCAGACAACCCTGTCCTGCCAAGGAATCTGTATTACCTCCCTGACTGTCTTACAGTTTCAGCAGGGGCTCAGTGGGGGTGCAGGAGTGAGAGCCACAGCTAGGTTATGCCTAGTAACAGAGGTAGAGGCAATCTGAAACCCCAGTTCCCTGCTGCTGGCATTTCGTGCATGGGTGTCACTTGCTACTTACTCATTTCTACACGGCTGCACTTGAGCTTGCTCTCAGAGACGGCCAAAATAGAATACTAATGCGCGTGTTGCCTTCCTGAGCTCCGATCTACACCTACAGCTGTCCCTTTTGAGGGATGCTGCTGTTAGAGAACAAGCAAGAGACAAGCTGTTTGGGAGGAAACCACATCATACCAGCATTGTCCTTCTATGACTTTGATGGTAGCAGGTAAGGCTGTGAGGCAGCTAGCCTGGATGCCTTTCTGGGCTGTGTAATGAGTGTGACCCTCCTCCTAGAAAGCACCTACTAATTAGCAGTTTTACAGTAAGTGTATCTGCATGGCTGAATAGTCCCCAGCTTCCTTAAGCATTAATTTTAATCATGACACTGTGAATGCCTTTTCTTTTGCCTTTGCCATCAGAAAGCTATGCATGGGATAGGGGACAAAAATAAAACTTTCTCCATAAAAGCGCTTTATTTAGTGGTCATGTTTCAGTGTATATCAGTTGTCATTTAGTTGTACTGAAATGTGCTGTTAGAAATACTCCAAGAAATGTACAGAGTTATCACCAAAAACCTGAAGTTCAGTTTGGATTGCATATAGGAAAAGGAGAGAAAGAAAAAAAAAAATCACAAACTTAATCTTTTTTTCCTTTGATAAAATTCCAAAATACAAAGTGATAAACTGAAAGTATTAATTGATTAAAAAAAAAGTCACAGTTGGACTATTTACAGTAAAACACCCTTAAAACAGATCGCTATTTTGTGCTCCATATACATTGAGTGTGTGTGTCCGCGTAAGAGGATCCCCACCTGCATCTTCTCCAGGCTGTCCCCTCCAGCCCTCGCCCAGGAGAAACTCCCCGGATGCGCTGCTGGGGAGCCCTGCACCTTAGACTGCCATGCCCTTGGGCCGCCCTCAGCACATGCCTCCAGGAAAGCTTCCCACTAATGACACAGCTACAAGGAGGAGGCCTTCAGCAGTCTAACAACAACACTGTTGGGTAGAGATGCTCTGGATTTATAACACAGCTGCCTGAGAACAAATTTTGGCCCACAAACAATAGAGGGCTAGCTGACAACATTCTACTTACACTAGTTTTGGCAGAAGTTTTTCTCAACTGTTTCTCCTTTCAGGAGAGGCCTCGGACCTTTGGTGAAGACCGAATGCCCTTGTGTCTTTTCCCTCTCTGTCAGAAATGCCATGGTGTGGTATGAGTTCTCCTTCAAATGCCTTTTGCCACTGTTTTAATTTCTGCTTATTTTCCTGCAGCTCAAACAAGATGCAAAGCCAAGCTGAACCTGACTCATGGAGGCAAACAGGAGCCATGTTCATGAGAAGCAGCTCCCATTGCTCCCCTGCCCAGCCAATACAGCAGCCTTCCCAAAATCAGGTTTTCAAACAGGGGCTTTGAGCTTCTGCTTTTTCTTTGAAAACAGACCTTCTGTTTGAAAATTTCCCTTCAGAGAGGGAGAAGCCCTTCTGGTTTTGCTGCTTCCTTCCTGCACCTCCAGCCCTCAGGCCACATCACCCAACCTCTGGGGCAGAACCTTGGAAGCCCACTTAAAGCCATGGCAGACTCCACTCGGGACAACTGGCCACACACAACTGGTCCAGAGCCCAGGCCTATTATCAGTGTGTCTGAAGTTTGACTTTGAAGTGCACAAAGGAGCAAAACCAAACTTTATGCCCAGAACCACCTGCAATGGTTCTGTTCTCATTGCAGGTGAGCCCAGTGTCTCTAACACAATGTTTTCCCCCTTGGGGAACCAAAAAAAAAAAAAGCTTTTGAAATGTTACAGACAATATGTGGTGGAAGCACTGCACACAAGAGCAGCCTTTTCTGCATCATCTTCAGAGCACACAGGCATTCCCATCTTAATTCAGCACCTCGCTTCCATCAGTCCCCACCATTGAGTCTGAAACACGAAGCTGAGCACAGCACCTTACTGTGCCATCTCCACTGGCCTGGGGACGGTCTGCCCAGCTACAAGGCAGCATCGGCCAAGTCTCGCTTCCTGATCACAGCAGTTTCTCCCAAACCTGGCTTTACTGTTGGCTGCTTTCCAGGCTGGAAGAAATGCCTGCCTAACTAACTAACCCAGTCAGTTAGGGTCTTCCACTGCCTGATTCCAAGTCCAGAAGAAAGAGCCGCTATTCCTCACCCTACCAAGTTACACCAGTTGGCAGCAAAGAAAACAACACAAGAAAGACAGGAAAGATGCAGTCTGGTGACTCGGGAACTGGTGACTCCTGAACACTCCTGGTGCCCAGAGAAGTCCATTTCCTTCATCTCCTCCTCTGCAGAACAGGCTGAGGAGTGCCTGTCTCAGAGAGGCATCACCGGGACTGGCTGTTGAATGTTTTCAACAACAGGAGTGTGACAGAGCCACTCAGAGTCACTGGTAGCACAAACTTGCACAAAAGCAGCTTGTGCTCTCTCATGCTGCCGCTGAACTCCTCTTCCAGCAGACAGCTATTTTTGTTTGGCTCTTAATGAGACAGCCACCCTCCAGAGCCCTTTGGCAATACGATCATGATTGCACATGAAAACAAACTCATCAAAAAAGTGTAAATGAGGTCATGTTTAACCCATGAGACCACACCTGCCCCCTTCCCCCTGCCAGAGGACAGGCTACACCTGATCTGTCTGGTACTCGGAGGCTTCTGATAAGCTTTCAGAAAAGCTCAGAAAATTTTCCTGGTACTCAGAGCAAACAATCTCAAATCTGTAGTGCCTGAACTCCACTGCAAAGGTGCCGAAGTAGCACAGGAAGCACATCACCAGGCCCCACTGGATCCTGGAAGCATGCATGTGGATGCCCTGTGCCATGAGGATGAAATCTGGAAGAGGAAAGTCAAGGAAAACTAGTGCGAGGAGAGACGCAGACCAGCATGAGAGAAACCCAAGTGGGAAGACAATAAAATCTTAACAAAGTCACCCAGGTGACAGTCAACCCAGCCAGCCATCATCAGGAGAACATGAATGTGGTGCCAGAGATGGAAGGGATATCGGGTGTCCAACAATGCCCATGGAGTGCAGCAGCTCTCCTATATGTCTCTCCTATAGGGCTTCCTGATCCCAATTCAGGCTGATAAACATTTACAGAGTGAAAGACTTAGGCACAGAGAAGCCGATGGCTTGCTTGAACATCCAGCTAGCCAGTGACAGAGCCAGCAAGCTGGGGCCCCTACCTGCCAAGAGCCTCCCAGCGGGAACTGGATCAGATCTCTGCACCGCAGGCAATGGGAATACCTTTCAGCCTACACTGTGCAATCTTTCATTCTCTTTACATCACCTGCAAAATCATCCCTTTCTGTGAAATCTGGAAGCATCAGTCTACACAGTATGGCATGTTATACTGAAAAGAGAAAGAACGCTGTCAGAGCCAGAAACTGTCCTCCAGGCTTAGACCATGTATTGCCTGGCATCAGAGTCTCACTGCTGTACATCAGGTTGTGTTGGAGTACTCCATAAAAGCAGTTCTCAGCCCCCCTAAAGCACAGGACACCTTCCTGAGCTGGGGACCTGCCCTAGCCCAATGCACATCTCCTCGAAACCTACTGGGTCTCCCGTCTCTTAGGATTTCCTCTGCACTCCAAGAATGCAGGACCACACTTCTTCACATGTAAAAAAACCAAGCAGCTTCTCTCATGTTTTAGCTGCACAAAGCAGGTAATCAGAGACTTTTCATCTTGGGCTTAGTGTAAGCAACCAAGGCAAACAGCATTCTGTGTCTGGCTTTAAGGATCTTCTACTTTCCCTGTAGCACAAGGATTATGCACAAGCTGCAAGGGATGGGGAGCCAGCCCCAAGCCTTTGCAAAGCCAGTGGTGGTGGCAGGGGGGAGAATGGGACTCCTGCCTCAGCCTGCCCCCTCCACAGAGGGCCCAAGGCCTTCAGTGCCAAGCAGCTGGCTGGGGAGGGCTGGGCTGTGAGTACCCAGCATGTCAGTACAGGAGCAGGTATGCCCTGGCTTACCCAGCTGCTCCTGCTCCCAGCCTGGCAGAAACCTCCAAAGACAGCAGGGCAGCAGGAGCCCGTCCCAGCTCCTCACATGCAGCCCTACCCCAGACACACCCTGGGGGAACTATGGGCTTGGGGCAGGGGGAGGAGGGGAGCACCACAAGAACGGGGCAAAATCCCACATTATGTACACCAAAGTGTGATGCTTGGCTACAAATTTTTCCAAGGAAGCTTAAGAGGTGACTGACAGTACATCTTTGCACCAATTTGCTATTCCACTGGACACTGGCTGAAATGTTCAAAAACAGTCAAGTGACTAAGAAATTGTTTTAAGAACAGGCTGTTCCCCAAAGAAAGGGATTAATTTATTCTTTACCATTTATTCCTGCCCTCTTGCTTATCCCAGCACTAATGTTGATGCAACTATGCAGTGAATGGATCCACCCTAAACAAACACCCAGGGCAGATGAGTGCTGGTGCAAACAGAAGGGCTGGAGTAGGGCTGATAGGCACAAGGTGGAGAGGAAGCCACATGTACATCCAGTCTGAGTGACCATAGACACCACAGCCCAAATCCCATTTGTAAAGCACCTGAAGTCCATGTGACCCAGCAGTTCTTGACTGTGATAACTGTTTTAAAAGGCAGAGCTGAATATAGCACCCTGGAGCATTTAAACAAACACATCAAAATCTTCTAATCTGCAAAAACTGAGCTCTTCCCTTGTTCCTTTGTTCTCAGAATTTTTATCTCAGTATTTTGCATAATCTTAAATGCTACTGTGTAGGTAAGCAGTGGATACTACTCAATAGTGTAACCACTTTGGATTTATGAAGGAAGCAAGCCCATCTGTGAAGCAGTGCATCCTGGTAAAACAAAAGTAGAAAAATGAGCCAATCATAGGATCATGCCACAAAGACAAGCTGAGTAGCATTCCTAAACGCTTTGAGATCCCAGGACAGATGTGAGAAGAGCCAATGTTCCCTGCTGCACAGTGTCAGACATGGCTTCCCAGGGAGCAGGACAAAAGGATACAGAGTACCACGCAGAGGGTGATGCTGGCTGACAGGACAACTCGTGGAATCCCAACTTTCCGTCCTTCGTTCTTCAGGTTGATCTTGAGGGTGAGGGCAGACTGGATCCAGCACGCCAAGGTCCCAAAGCCAAAGGTCAGCGACGTGCCTACATTGTGGATCTCCTCATCATTGGAAAGCTAGGAACAAACAAAATGGTGATTGTTTGGATGCAACATGAATTACCTGCTAGCTACCTTGGATTGCTGCTGGGATGGGATAGGGGAGAGTGGGAATCACTGGGGTGAGAGACAAAGATGTTGTATCATTTCTTCTGGCAGAGGTGTAAGGTGTAATATAACCAAGTTGAGTTGGCAATTGTCACAGTCAAGCAGATCTGCCCAAAGCCTAAGCACAGGGGAAAATGCAGCCACTTGGGGACTGCCTCCACAGCCCCCTGACAAGACGCACCAATGCAGAGCTCAGAAATAAATCCTTCCTTGGCTCAATGTGATGGGCAGGCAAGGACAATCTGCTAGGGTCTTGTACAGCTCCCTGCAATGGAAGCAAACTGTACAACCTTCAGTGCCAGCTGTATGGGGCAGTGCTGCCTGGGGCAGAGGGTAGCCAGAGCCTTGACACCTCTGTTGAGCTAGCACAAGCCAAAACACAGCTCCCGGTTTGGCAAGTTTCTGCCACCAAAAAGCTTGACTGCCTGTTCCCTCTTCTGCCCGTCCTTGACCATTGGAGTCTGAGACAATATGAACCCAAACTCTCTGTAGTGCAAGTGCTTCCTTGGCCTCCCATGTCTCATTGTGACTGTGCAATACTGCAAGGCAAAAGGACAGCCAGGTTCAAAGAGCAAGAATCTGCAAAGAGATCCCTTGAGGCTACAAATCCATTCAGAAAGCCCATCATGGACAAGACAAGCCAAACAATTTCCCTTTTCCCTCTGCCTCTTGAGGCTTTTCTATAAAAGAATCCAGCAGTCTGTAATTCATCCCTGAGGCCTTGATTCCTTATCCATGATTTAAAAAACTCCCATCAAACAAAACACAATCTACAAGATATCAGTCTAGTTACTGTGCCTCCACTGATGTCTCCCCTCTCCTCCCTACCTTGAGTATTTTTTCAAAGGTAGGTCCAAATCATAGTACAGGCAAAAATGGGACTGAGCTGCCTTTCCCAAGGTAGCCTGCACTGTAAGGGACTCAAAGCCGTAATGTCCTTCTAACACACTTAATCTGTAATTTTCCAGAAATATGATTTAATGCCACATTCAGTTTAGCAGTCAGGCATAGAAAAACATGGACTAAGGTCTCATAACCACATGCTTTCATGGTTTGGCAAAAGATCTCAGCAAGTATACAGGTAACTAACAAGGAGTGGATAATTAGTTCAATATTTATAACCAGGCATGATTCAAAGTATCCACTTTTAAATAACAATCATTTGCTCTGAGGAGTGAAAAAAGAAAGGAGAGGTTGAAACTACTTCTGAGTGCCTGTACTAGAAATGTACTAGAAATACTCTTCTCACACCTAGACAAGGCTGTTACAAAAGCCTCATAGTTCCTAGTTGTGAAGCTCTCATGAAAAAGCAAGGCTCCAAGTTTTTGGCTTGTGCTGTGGAGTTAGGAAGGCCAGGTCCAAAACAGTGAAATTATCTCACACCTCACTGAAAAAAAACCAACAAAAAATAAGATGACTGTAGAGGACACAAAGTTCCTGCAATTGCTCCACAACCCAAACAGGTACTCACCCTTCACAAAACAAGTACCTTTTTGATATTGGCAGGAAAAATAGCTTCCTGCCTGCAAAGCCAGGAAAGAGACCAGCCTACACTGACCTTTCTCAGTTCCTACCATTATTGGGAATCATTACTTGCACCCCAGTGTGAGGCAGAGCATCAGAGACAGCAAAAGGATGAGGAAACCCAAGTGCCACTGACTCTAATGCCTTGATTTTCACTGCAGATCTAACAGACATACTTGTGATCACAGTGGACACCCAACCCTACTGACCAACGTTGTGGCACTGACAGCTTGACTGTTTGTTTAATGTTGCAGAACAGATCGAGAATCAGAGGGACCTCATCCAGGCACCCATCGCGTTAGGAAAAGTTGTAGCACTCCTCTGCCGTGTACCTCTTGTGGCCAGTCTGAGGACATGCGGGAGGTAGATTTAAACAACGTTTTAAATGAAGGACACTGAACTGCCTGCTAAACCTGTATGGGCAGGTGTGCATCTGTTCGCACAGATGTGTACATAAACTTCCCACTCAGTCCTTTTACCCAGGACCATCTGTGCCAACCCCCGGGGCTCAAGCGATTCAATAGGTTCCCTATTCTGGCTCTCAGCAGGTCAAATGCAAGCATGCAGGTGCAAATCCTGATGGGAATACGTGAAAAATGTTTGTGGCCCTTCATCTCAGCATGTCACTGGAGTCACATAAGCAGCAGACAGAGGTGGCAGAGCAGGTACAAGGAGGACTGGGGCACAGCCAGCCACATTATCCCCTGAGCTCACATCACAGGTAGTTCAAAGACCTAAGCAGATCTGCTAGAAAAGCAGGAACCTCACAGCCCAGACAGTGGTCCAAGCTTGGAGTGCAGTACCTGAAAGTTGCCAAGTAGGGTCATCCCAAAAGACACCAAGCATAATGCCACCAGGCCGCTGACGTTCAGCCAAGGGTTTAGCACCTTCGGCTTCAGCTGAATGAAGCGCAGGACAGCCACAACAAGCGCTGAGAAGGAAACAAAATGCAAGGTGCATCATTAGGTAGGGCATGCTGCAGTAACTACCTGGCTGGAGGCTCACAGACCCCTCAGCCTCTTTCCACCCAGAGAGTGGAAGAGAGCCGGCTCACTTTAGGCCGGCTAGCTTAGTGATTCTGTGTGGCCCCCCTCCCACTTAGTCATGGACAAGACTAAGCACAGGAAGCATCTGCCTTGTAATCCAGTTAAGCTGAGCTCCCACGCTTCCTTTTCTCATGACACTTTGTCTTGGAGCTAGGTTGCAAATTTTCTTGGGGAAAGAAGAGCACCTTCCTATTTGCCTGGGAAGCTCCCAGCACATAGTCTATCACATGATGCATTCACATTGCAGCAGCTGGGCTTGCATCAAGTTTCACTCCACTAACAAGCACCAAGCTCTCTTGGAGGAGGTATGTCAAACCCCACCTGTATTAGAAAATGTATGAATGGCACATACGTATTTCTGCAGGTTTTACCATTATGCCCACTGCCTCTTCTCCTCTGGAACAAGTTGCTGGTGCCATGAACATAAGCCAAAATATTGCACTAATTTTCCACAAAGACTGAAAGAGCAGTCCTTCCAAGCTTACAATTAGCCCAAGGACTATGACATGATACATGACATACATGATACGTGATATTTCACATATGACATGACATAACCCCAGGAGATATTCACATTGCATATTCTTGCCCTCCCTAGGGAATGCTGCATGGAACAACACAGAAAGCCGGGCAATCAGTTGGCCTTCAGATGGCATTCAAACCAGACCACTAAAAAGCAATTTAGTTTAACAGGGAAATTTGCTAGTCGCTGCTTATGCTCAAACTGATAGCATGCAGGTCATATTGTTATAAACTGTCTGTGTTAGCAAATTAGATCCATATTTTCCACAACCCCCCTGGTATGATATCAAAAACACGGTTTAGAAAAATAAGGGCACTATAAGTGAAAAATATCCACTGTTACCCAAACTGCAAAAGAAGTTTGAATTTACTCTCTCACAATTTGCTCTAGTGAATCAAACCACTCCAAATCCTTGAAAACAAGAGAACTTTGTACTCTCCCAAAAGAGAATTTCTGTTTTGCATCCCCAGGTAATTATTTGGGACAGTCACACTGTGACAGCAGCATGCAGGAACTTTTTCATTTCTGTTTCTATGGGACAGAATCATGAATTTATGTGTTCTTTTCCTAAAACACTGATGGGAATGACAGAAGGCAATTAAAAGGTTACCTTCCAGCATTACGTGTAAAACAACGGCATTTTCAATATTTAGTTATGCCTATCTTTCTAGCAGGTTTCTGTCATTTTTCTCTCCCATAGCAAGGGCTTTGACACATCTAAGGTGGCCAGAGGTACAAGCTAAAAGCAACTTGCAGAAGCACCCAATATAGCAGAAGAAAGCATGGCTTTATCCACAAAGCAGAGAGAATAGAATATTTCATTTCAAAGGGACCTACAACAAGCATCTAGTCCAACTGCCTGACCACTTCAGGGCTGACCAAAAGTTAAAGTATATTATTAAGGGCATAGTCCAAATGCCTCTTAAACACTGACAGGGATGGGGTATTGACCACATCTCTAAGAAGCCTGTTCCATGTTTGACCACCCTCTTGGTAAAGAAATGCTTCCTAATGTCCAGCCTAAACCTACCCTGGCACAGCTTTGAACCATTCCCACACGTCCTATCACTGGATACCAGGGAAAAGAGATCAGCACCTCCCTTCCTGCTCAGGAAGCTGTAGAGAGCAATGAGGTCACCCCTCAGCCTCCTTTTCTCCAAACCAGACAAATCCAAAGTCCTTAGCTGCTCCTCACTGGACATATCTTCCAGCCCTTCCACCAGTTTGTTGACCTCCTCTGGACGCATTCAAGGACCACAACATCCTCCCTAAATCATGCGGCCCAGAACTGCACATACTACTCAAGGTGATACCCCACCAACGCTGAACACAGCAGGATAATAACCTCTTTTGACTGACTGGTTATACTGTGTTTCACGCACCCCAGGACACGCTTTGCCCTCTTGGCTGCCAGGGCACACTGCTTACTTCTATTGAGCCCGCTGTCAACCAGCACCCCCAGATCCCTTTCTGCAGGGCTGCTCTCCAGCCACTCCTCTCCCAGTTTATATTTGTGCCTGGCATTACTAGGTGCAGAATCCGGCACTTGGTGGACTTGTTAAATTTCATGTCATTAATGACTGCCCAATGATCCAGTCTATCTAGATCCCTCTGCAAGGCCTTTCATCCCTCAAAAGAGTCAACAGCACCTCCCAGTTTGGCATCATCAGCAAACTTGCTAATGGAGCATTCAGCTCCTGCATCCAGATCGTTGACAAAAATGTTGAACAGAACTGGCCCTAGGACTGAGCCCTGAGGAACACCACCGGTGACGAGTCGCCAGCCGGAGGTAGCCCCATTCACTTTGAGCCCTGCAGTTCTTCATCCAGCACACCATGAACCCGCTCATCCCACGGTTGGACAACCTGTCCAGAAAGATGCTGTGAGGGACAGTATCAAAAGCCTTACTAAAATCCAGAAAAACTACATCTACTGCCTTCCCCTCATCCACTAGGTGGGTGACCTTACCATAGAAGGACATAAAATCAGTTGAACAGGACTTTCCTTTTGTGAACCGATGTTGACTGTGCCTGATGATTGCATTATTCTTGATAATTGAAAATATGGAAGTTCATGTCAAGGTTCATGACTAAATGTATTGTATCAGGTTTTACATCTCATGTCTCATTTTCATTATGTCAGATTAAGATTGTTAAAGTATTTTACTCATGCACATACAAGTCTGGATTATTTTCAAAGCTCAAGTCAACTGAATTTCCCAGGTTGCTGAAAAGAAACATTGTGCCTTTTACAGGCAGCAGGGGTGGAACCCACACTTTGAGAGAATAGGTCAGAGCAAAACTGAATGCACAATAAATCACCCCATATAGGAAAAAGATAAATGCAAGTACTACTAAAGAAGAACAAATCAAGATTAAAATAAAGAATTATTTGCCATTTAAGTTTAGGATAATTTGCTCGAAATCCATACAGGTGAAGGTAATAAGCAGTTTTAAGAACCACACACAGACATCTTTTTTCAAGTACTTTTCAGGTATTTCTTCTCTTTGTAGTGTTTCCCTCTTACTTCCATTGCTGGAAAATGCCAGTAAACTTCCACAGATTTAGTAATGGAATTTAGGAAGGAGTGGGGTAGGGGGGACTTCAGCATGGATGATATTTTTGCATAATCAGTTGCTGCATTTGTAATATTCCCATGCAATTATCTCACATTCACAGCATCTAACAACAACCCACCACAGAATGAAAAACAGTCACAGATTCAAGGCTAAGATGAGACAATTAAAAACATGAGAATAAATCAGAAACCAATAAAGTTCTAACGCATCCAGCTTCATTCTGTCTTTCTACAAATGAAGACAAAATAATACTGTCTTAATCAGTAGTAATAACAGCTTAAATGATTTCACATCACCAGATTCAAGAACAAGAACGTATGGGATATTGCTTATGTTTCAGTGACTTCTTAAAACAAATTAAGAGAGAGAAACATTCGCCTTGTGGCTCCTACCTAGAAATGCTGCCATGTTCATGACTTGGCTAAATACGCAGCTTGCGGGAGGTGCATCACCTGCAATACTTGGAAAATATAAAGCGTATCATTGTACCTCTGGGACGGCAAACACACATAAATAACAACCATTAATCAGAACAGTAGTTGGAAGAAAATCATTCACTGACCTTATATAAGGTGGTCTTTCGGAACCAGGTTTCCTAAGAAACATAAATGCATAGGAACAAAGATTCAAGATCTTTCCCATTTAGCTTTCATTGTTTTATTATTTTAAAGAAACAAGTGATTGAATTTAAAGCCCACAACCAGCTCTTACCTATCTGGTACATTTAGTGGGAGAATTTTGTTATCTTCTACTGCTATAAAATACCTGTCAAAAAAAAAAAAAAAAAAAAAAAAAAAACCCCAGATGAAAACAGTGTAAAACCTCATCCTGGTTTCAATTCCAAGTATCACTCAAACAACGCATTAAGTATCTCAAAGCCCACTGGCAGGATCTGTTGGAGGCAGCCTGTGTTTCTGTCTGCTCGGGTGGGCAGTTTTACTCACTTCCCCACCTAACTATGTGCCTTCCTTTGTGTTGCACCCGTTTTGCATGGTCAGGTAGACAAACAGGGTCACTGAACTGAGCTGCCTTAAAAATAACCAATCAGGGAATGTTTTCATTTTTAATCTGAATCATCTGATTGACCATGGTCCCCACTCCGCAAAAGCTGTTCTAATACAAAGAGGGGATGGGACAAGAAGAACCACCAATAGGGGTCAGACAAATGGCTTAACTTGCCCCTGCTGCTGAAAAACAACAGCCACAGACCATGGCCAAAGCCATATCCTACAATATAACTGCTTCTCAGGCTGAGCATAGCTGCTGATTGCACATTTATCACTCCCAAATTCATGTTGCAGTCATCTGCCTGCATGCTTGGAGAGAGCCTAGCTCAGGAAAATGCATCTCTCCTGCATTTTGGTAAGAAGTGTTAGTGAGAAAGTGAGGTGTCAGCATTAAGCTGCTGGAAGGTTGTCAGTGCAGTGCTGGATGCTGCAGATTTTGAGTTTGCACCCCAAAGCAGGGACTAGGTGCTTCTCCAAGAGCTCTGCTGAATCATTCAAAGAAAACATGAGAAAGGGAATTTTTGCATTTTTGTCTGTCTCATTTCAGACAGCTCCCAGCAATATGTTCCAGGAAGAAGGCAAGATCAGAAACTTGGCCTGGGGAGCACAGAATCTCAGGGATAAAAATGTGATCCTCCAAGCCATGACTTGTCATGGACTGGCCCCTGCCCCTATCATGTGCCTTCCTAGCTCCACAGTAACTCAAGGAAGGACAGAGCAGCTCCAAAAGACTTTCCGTACTGAGATGCAGCCCACACCACAGCAGTACTTCTGACTGCCCCAGCCTAGCTTGCTCTCCCAAATAACCAGCAGAAGGTAACTTACACTATCCATAATCCAGCTGATGTAAACAGGGTAAACACAAGAGGTAAAAACATCCACACGCTGCATTTCTTTCCATCCATACCTGCTAGAAACAAAGAACAAAGTAAAAACAAAAGAAAGAGGGCAGAGGTACCCACCCACCTCAGTTCCCCCTCTTTTGAAAGCAGGAAGAGCATCCACACAGCAGGTACTGAAGCATCCCAAGATCAAGCTCCTAATGGCGAGGCAGCAGGCACTGCAAACCTTTCATACTGTCTTTACTGGCCTAAGGGACTATGCTGCACACAGGCAGATGCATCTGCACTGTACATAAAAAACAAGGCACAAAGAGCCTGGAGTTGCGGAGGGGGAGACTTTTCAGGCACACCTACAGAACTTGAGTGGTTTTCGAAGTATTTTTCTTAAGCACAAGGTGACACTGCAATACCCGCAGCCCTAATTCCCTGCTACTTCCCATAGGCACAAAGCAAGGCAGCCTCCTTCCCAGGATCATTACCAATTCCACACACGCTGCCTCAGCAAATCCTGCAGCATGAAGGGAGAAGAATGCACGTGCTGCCTCCTCATCTCCACAAAGCACACAACCAGCTCCCATCCTGGCCCCAGCAATCAGCTAAAAATAGCATTCAGCCACACCCAGAGCAGAGCCAAGCTCCAGTGCCAGCATCCAGAGTACTGTCAGGACCAGGCACTACAAACAGGATCAGCTGTTTGTAGCTGATGTAGGCACTGTGAAAACCAGCACGGGGCGTAAGGATGCTGCGTACACCACCTCCTGAGGAAACATTTGTCCTCTAGGCAAGATCACTCTGGATGAGCATCTGAGATGCCAGGGCTATTCCCGTAACACATGCAATTCAGAAACACTGCTATATTTCTGTGCTGCAGTCACAGAGAGTCCTATGTCTCCCTGTGAGTCCTTTGACAACAGATCAAGTATTTCCTCACATTCTGTCCTCCTCCATAAATGTTCCTCCAGCCACTGCACAGCCAAGAGACACAAACAGAGCAAACAATGCAAGGCTCACGGCTCCAGCGCCTGCTTTACTTTCAACAGGGCAGCAGTACCTGTGCCCCTGCACTCTGCCTCCTCCTCCCTCCTATAGCCTGTGGCAGGGCAGACATTTCCCAGGGTCACTGAGGCCCCATGGGACAGCTCAGCCTTTCACTAGAGCCTGCTTGTATTTGCAGCTCAGTTACCTCATCCAGGTCCTTAAGACAATGAGTCTTCCCTTTGCTCCAGAGAAGAAAGCACCCATGTTGTCATCCTCCTCTTCGCAGCTCCCCTGGCCTTCCTACATCTGCAGCACAGGAGCCATGGTCTCTCTGGGCTGCTGCCCTGCTCCCTGCCCCCTGTGAGGACCCACAGAAGAGAGTAAGCATCCTCACCGTGTCACAACCAACCACCCGCTCACCACTTCCACAACACAGACCTGGGCTGCAAAGGCAAACGCTGGCAGAACTCTGCTCAGGGGCCCAGCCACCGACTCCCACCCTGCCCCATGGCAGTAGAGGCTGAGAGAGTTGAGGTGAGGCTCTCCAGACCCTACAGAAGGCCTGACAGCTTCACGCTTGCCCCTACAGGTCAGCTGTCCTGTCTTCCCTGCACATCACTTGGCAAGGGTACAAACCAACACCTTTGCAGTACCTCAAGCCACATCACACTTGCACAAAACCATGAGTCCGTGATTTGGTGCTGTCTGTACAGATAGCCTCGAGTGAGCCTGAACTGCAAACCTTAAAAGACAGAAAAGCACTCAGATAAGGTCTCTTCCCTGACCTGGAAGCAGAGAACTGCAGACAGGGACCATGAAATCATATAAGTATTAAGTACATCGGTTCAAAAGGCAGTCAGCTCCAGCATATATACATATCTTTAGCATGGCATAACAAATCAGAAGAAATGAGTAATGGGGTTGACTAGATTTCCCCACCCATCTCATCTCTGTTCCTCTCCTCCCACAGAGGGAACACAAAGTGTTTCACAGCTCTGTTCCCCATGCAGCCCCTGCCATCATGGCTGCAACTCATCTATGAAGCACTGCCCTTGCCTTTTCCTCCCGCAGCCCATCAACATGCAGCAGCACCCCTTAGCTGGTGCTGGCCATTACGCTGGTGATGGGAGACAGGTACTGGCGATGTCAAGGACCACTTCAGGTGGCAGCTACCTCAGGCCACGTCCCTGCCGGACCCTGGCAGCACAGCGCCCAAGTGCTGGTGCCCTGCGCAAGGCAGCCATAGCTGTAGCCGAGTTCCACCCTTCTGTCGTGGCTGAAGGAGAGCAGGCAGGTAACTGTCACCTCCTGTTACAGCCCCTGTTTCCTTGGCAAGGTAATTGCTGCTAACACAGTGCTTGACTCTGTCTTTTCTCTAGTGGTGGCTGGACTGAGCCAAGGTAACACAATTCTTTCAAGTCAGGGAATGTCAGATCTTATTATTTGTCCTTCCCCTTAGGAAAAGTACAAAGGATTAATTTACACACAATAACAGCAAATGCTAGCCATAACACTTGTATTCATTAATTGGTTGCCACAGCTGCTCTGCCTTCCAGCATGCCTCCCAGCCAAGAAATAGCAGCCTTCGCAAGCCATTTCAGCCTTGCCTGTCCTGCAGAGGGAGGTGGCACGGTGCTTTGCCCCCAGGCAGAGCAGCCAGGCAGCACACAGGGACCAGGGACTCCACACACCAGGATGAGGTGGGGAAACGCGAAAATGCTGTCCAGATAACCATTACTCTGTGTTGAGCCCTGCAGTGGCAGGACTGGTGCCCAACCTCACTGAAGTCAGAGCAACACAGCTACAGATTCACTCCCTTGGAAAACAGCCCTGTGTTTAACACTCACTGTGCTACACAGAGTCCCCTTCTATTGACCACTAACAGAAAATGACATCTGAAATCATTGCATATTAAATCAATGACTAGCACAGAGTGCAGCATTCAGATGGGAAGCCAGGTCCATAGTTCAGAGAAACATGCTCACTTCAGCCGGTTAAAAAGAAACACTTAGAGAACATACTCACACACACACCCCCCCCTCTCCTCCCAGCCAGTTGGGTTCACACTGAGGAGGAAAGACAGCACTCCCAGGGAGAACAATGACATGCATGGGGCCAGGTCTTCACCAGGGCTCAATGCAGTCAGAACTGGACCTTTTGGAAAATAAGCAACCCACATGAGGCCACACCTCAGAGGGTGCCAAGCTCTGTCCAAGCTTGCCTCTCATGGCAGGCAGCAAGAATTGACCAGGAAAGGATGTTGCCGCTATGCACCCTCCTCTGACAGGCTCCACCCTGAGGCACGGGTGTGGGACAGCATGAGCATGTACTCTTGTGGCACACCCTTGGAAGGAGAGCAGGGGGGTGATGGCTGGACCAGCGGCGTTGCTCGCCCCTGCCAGCCTACACAGGAGTGAGCTGCCTGCATCTGATGGAAGAAATACCCAAAGCAGGAAAGAAGGGTCGCTTTCCCTCATATCCCCAAGTGGCAACACCTTTTAACACTGTCCACTGGCACATCCCACACATGCTTTGAAGATGTTTCAACATCCCCATGTGGGCAGAGGATGGTTTCAAACCAGGACTCAGCTCCTGTACTTTTCTCATTTACTCCCTGTTGTGTTATTTGGGTGCCAGGAACAAAATTACATGTAACCTCACTTCCTTCCAAAGAAGAATCCCCAAGAATGTGCCAAACCTGCATAGTTTTGCACCAGTGTTCAGTCAATATCACTCTCAGCAGTTGTTTGGGTTAACCTGTCCTCTTCAGGGTTGGCCCTGATGTTCGTGTCTTCAAGCCAAGAGACTTCCATGCACACTAAGACCAGAACCTCTAATAGCAGCCAGGAATAAAAGAATGAGGAACCCAAATGACAGCCTTCCCTGCAGCACCACAGCCGTTTAGCCAAAATAAAATGCTGAGAGCGATAGGAAAAATAACATACATTATTGGGAAATGTAGGAACCATTTCTTTGACAGCTAATTGCTCCACAGGGATGACATGAAGCCAACATTCCTTTCCACAGCTCTGTCCTGCATTGCTGCCATGACCAGGGATGCCAAACCTGAGCAGTCAAGTCCAGCTGGCGACAACAGCCATCTCCACCAGCTCATGTTTTCCTAAATAAACACACTGCATCCAGGAGGCAGTTGGTAATTGCACACATCCATTTGTCTTCCATTTTTAAGGCTTGCACAAGAAGGCCTTCAGCAACAGAAAGCCCTTGTGGTGCAATAGATTCACAAGGCTAATAAAAACATGTTTTCAGCTTCGTAGCTGACTCCACGTGGAGTCAGCCCGCCTTCCCACAGGCACGCACTGTGATTTTCCAGTCCCTCTTGACTCACAGTCTCACACTAGCATTGCAAAAACCCCATCGAGGTGCGTTCCTGCTGCCAGCTATCATGGGTCAGGGTGCAGAACTGCAAAGGGTTTCACTTTAGCACTGCCTCAGGGTGTGTCTTCAGAATTTTTTTCAATGCAGGCTTATTCCCTTATCCCCATTCCCATTTTTATGTCTAAATCTGCTCAGACTGTCAGCTGTTTGCTCTGCTTTTATTACCATTGCGCCACTACACCCCCTCAGCCAATTAAGCTCCCATTCCTCTAATGTACACATTTCAATTACAGCAGGCAGCTCACCAAACATATACTGCTGCTTGCTCAAGGTTCATTCGATGTGGGCATCTTCATTTCATCTGCCAAACAAAGTTACAGGCTCTTCCTGAAGTTGCATTTAGAATCATAGAATTGTCTAGGTTGGAAAAGACCTTTAAGATCATCAAGTCCAACCGTTAACCTAACCCTGCCATCCCACCACTAAACCATGTCCCTCAGCACCTCATCTATCCTTCTTTTAAATACCTCCAGGGATGGGGACTCAACCACTTCCCTGGGCAGCCCATTCCAGAGCCTGACAACCCTTTCTGGGAAGAAATTTTTCCTAATGTCTAACCTAAACCTGCCCTGGCGCAACTTCAGACCATTCCCCCTCGTCCTATCATCCGTTACCAGGGAGAAGAGGCCGATCCCCACCTTCCTACAGCCTCCTTTCAGGTAGTTGTAGAGGGCTAGAGAACATGAATGTAAGGAAGGGCAAAATTACCACATTAACAGAGTCATACGTCTTTTTTAAGACGAGAGAATGCAGATGCATTTCAAGGGCCCATAAATAAGCTGCATAATAAGCCAGAGCAATGCTCCTGCATTTCTCAGCGCCAGGCCATTGAGTCATTTCAGAGAATATGTACAGAGCCAGAAGCACTGGGAGAGGAGGACGCTGTTCAAAACACACAGCAAGTCATAAAGAATTTATGCCAGTCAGCAACAATCAAAGGGGAACAAACACAATTTGTCTTTTGGGAGAGCCCACTATATCTCTCTCTTGCTTTTAAAAGCGAAAATAACCACAGCCACTTGATACCTAATCACTGTAATGGAACAGATACAAACGAGCACATTACATAACCATAACCTGTCACCCATGTGCCACAAATGCCAACATAACAAAGTTTTCAGGTTTATCTGAAACCTTAACCTTATTCAAGGTTCCCAGACTGAGCACACAATGAGAGAAATAAGGCATGACAGAAGCTTGTAAATACACAACAAAATAGTGGGGTAACAGGAAAAGCAGCAATCCCCTCTGTCAGCAGGGTATGATGTTTTGCTCGCTCTGGGTACCCACCTACCATCTCAAGGGTGTGCAAAAATTGCCATTTTCATTTATTTATAAGAGAGAGGAATGGGAAAAGGTAAAGACATCTCTGGGTTATGCATGGGGAAGCAGGAGATACTTCAGTAATCCTGCAATGATGTTGAGAGGCAATGCTTTCACCCACAGAAACATCCATACATACTTCCTGTCTCATTTCACACACTGTACATGCATTCAGCATGCTAATGAAATGCTCTCGCCAACACAAACCTAACGAAGATGGGCAAAGCACACCAAAGGAATGCAACCTTCTAGTCACCAAAACACAGGGGCAGAAAAGGCATCCACTTGCCCACAGTCCCTCCAAGTTGCCCTGGGAAGCTGTCTCCTGGGGTTGTGTAAAATTAATTTGTTACCAATTCTGTAAATATATATATATTCAGCCTTTCCTGAGTGCCTTGGTATCCTGGTTTTGATGGGATAGAGTTAATTTTCTTCCTAGTAGCTGGCATAGCACTGTGTTTTGGATTTAGGATGAGAAGAACGTTGATAACACACTGATGGTTTAGCTGTTGCTAAGCAGGGCTTACACCAGTCAAGGACTTTTCAGCTTCTCCTGCTCTGCCAGGTGCACAAGAAGCTGGGAGGGGGCACAGCCAGGACAGGCCAAAGGGCTATTCCAGACCTTATTATGTCATGCTCAGTATATAGAGCTGGGGGAAGAAGAAGGAAGGGGGGGACGTTCAGAGTGATGGCGTTTGTCTTCCCAATTCACCGTTACGTGTGATGGAGCCCTGCTTTCCTGGGGATGGCTCAACACCTGCCTGCCCATGGGAAGTAGTGAATGAATTCCTTGCTTTGCTTTGCTTGTGCGTGTGGCCTTTGCTTTCACCTATTAAACTGCCTTTATCTCAGCCCCAGAGTTTCTTCACTTTTATTCTTCAGATTCTCTCCCCCATCCCACTGGGGGAGAGTGAGCAAGTGACTATGTAGGACTTAGTTGCCGGCTGGGGTTAAACCATGACACTTGGTAAGATGACCATGTAACCGACAGCATGTCCCACCCAGAGATACTCCTGCAGCACTGCTGGGTCCCAAGGCCAGCGTCACCCCTCTGGTATGCTGCACAACCTTTGCCCTCAATCGCACGTGAGTACTTACAGGCCACTTAGGAACCGGTGTTGAGCTGCTGTGTTACAACCAGAGACATTGACTGTAAACTCTTCTGGGCTGAGTCTGCCTTTCTCGCATTTGGCGTTGTACAAACCAGACACATCCTGCTTCAAGAACAGGCTCCTGGATGTTATAAAAGAAAAATGACTATAATTTGCCACCTTAAGACAAAAGGCGTGTTTTGCAGGCTTTCACAGCACTGGTCCTCTGTCCCGTGCACCTACATCAACCCACATTGACTTCCATGAGGCCCTGCTCATACCATGTGCGGGGCTTGGGCAGTCGTGGCCCTCAGCCTGCAACAGACAAAGGCAGGAGGGTGTGTAGTGCAGACGGTACACATCCAGTTCAGACAGAAAGAGCTGGGTCAGCAGGCTGGGCAGCAACCAGCCCCCAACGAGTCCATGCAGTGTGAGTGTGTTGGACTGCCCACGTCCCAGGGCAGGTGCCTTACCACCTTTCCAAGAGCAGAGATGCTCAAGACTGGGGCCACTTTAGCCAGACATCTTCTGAGATGCAAGGGAAGTCTCTATCAGAGTCTCAACACAGACCCAACCTCACAGTCCCACACCATCGCCACGGGGGTGTATTTTGCCCTTGCATGACTACCCAATCCTTTGGTCTGGGATGCATGTGAGAATGGGACTTACTCCAAAGTACCAGCCAAACCCCAAAGTGAAGAGTTGCTGGAAAATGAGAAGGGCTATTTATCTCCTCATAAAATAAAAGACAGAAAAGCTCTCCCTGCTTCAGCTATGCTGTGAGGAAAGAGTCCCTGAAACCATCTCCTTGCTCTGCAAGTAATACACAAATGCAGACTGATGTTGGGGCAAAGCACAGAAAGTCTGAGGCACCATGTAGACAGGCTGTCCAGTGATCATTCTCCACCTTAACCACACCAATCTCACGACAGCTGCCTGAGCCAGCAACAAGCAGAATGTGTGTTTCTCCTCCCATAAGGTACAGTAATCTTGATGGTGTATAAATTGATAGAGGTCTGCAGAGGTGTTTGCTTGCTCCTCCGTTCCAAAACCACAAATGCCTTCAAGCATCTCCAAAATGCACAAGCAAGCAAAGCCAAGACACACATTACAACAGAAGGGGGTAGGAAGCCTGCCCAAAAGGTTTGTCCCCTTATCGGGAAAACAACGTTAAGTGCTTGGAGTGGCAAAGAACACACAACAGGGAGGCGAAACCTGGTGAAGAAAGAGACAGATATGTCATGTCAACTTACAGATAGTTTTGAAGGTAAGGAAAGACAGACTAAGTCCAGAAGAGCAGACTTTGCAGAATGGTTATTCCTGGTTATATTGTCTCCTTGTCCTGTAGTTTATGGATGAGAGAGTGCATGCCCTGGAAGGCCAGAACAATTCCAGGTTTCCCTCCCTTTGCTACCCTGCCACTGTTTTTTTTCCCCAACAAACACAAAACATACACTCAAGCTACAGAACTTCCTACACAGTGTAAGTAAGTAGGGCTTCCCCCACCTGTTCACCTTGACTTTCACCTCTCTTGTCCCTCATGCCCTTCTTTTATCCACTGTTTGGAAGCACAAGCTCCTTTCTTCACTGTGCTTTGCAACTCTACCCTTTTGAAGAGATGTGCACTGTCCCCAAAGCAGCATTGCCTTTGGTTACACCAGTGGGCACCACCAGCAGAAGCATAAATACCAGTCTACACTTGTCAGCCATGGGGAAAACACCCAAGACCTGTGAGCTTTTAGGGAGTGTGGCACAGCATACCGAGCTTTCTCAGGACAGTTTTCCCTCACCAAACTCTTCAGCCTGAGGACTCATGCCTGCTCCACCGCTCACATGGCAATCTGACATCCTCTTCCCCTTGTATTAACCACCAAAGCCCCAGAGAAGCAGCAACGAGATGATGGGCCAGAGGGTGAGCTAGAAGGGATGGACGTGCAGTATCCATGACTTGGCTTTTGTTGTTACTTTAAGGTAGCCCTCTCTGTCAAGGGTACAAACTAACACATCAGTCTTTTGGCTTCATTCATTTGAGATAGCCAGCATGGCTTCACCAAGGGCAAGTCCTGCCTGACCAACCTAGTGGCTTTCTATGATGGTGTGACAGCATTAGTGGACAAGGGAAAACCAACAGACGTCATCTATCTGGACTTCTGCAAAGCCTTTGACACAGTCCCCCACAACATCCTTCTCTCTAAATTGGAGAGCTGTGGATTTGATGGGTGGACTGTTTGGTGGATAAGGAACTGGCTGGATGGTTGTGTCCAGAGGGTAGTGGTCAATGGCTCGATGTCCGGATGGAGACCGGTGAAGAGTGGTGTCCCTCAGGGGTCCGTACTGGGACTGGTGCTGTTTAATGTTTTCATCAATGACTTAGACAGCGAGATC